AAAGATTGGGGAGGAAATTAGAGGTTCTTTAGAACACCTCTTGCGCTCCGCTTCCACCGCCGCCGCCCTCCTATCGTATCCATCAAAATAATAATTAACGCCGTTCCCCCTATTGATCCCTGGAAAAGCCCGTATTAAATTATGAATGGGGCCAGAGGGTCTCTAATTAAAAAGCAGTCTATTTAGCAAAAGAAAAAAAAGGTGTGGGGGGGTTTGGGGAAGAAGGGAGGCCCAGCGTTGGTGGAGGATTGTTACAGATATCCCCGGGAAAGGGATCATAAGGGGAATCACGCAAGAGTGCGAGCGGATCTGCAGGGGTCTGAAGGCGCCCGGCGGAAAGCAAACCGGGACGCGAGCATCTCTTTCAGAACGACTCCGGCGTCCCCGTGTAAACTCGGCGGGATTTATGAGAATGGTTCCCCTCGGAGGAAGGAGGGAAGCCCTGGGAAAGAGAGAAACCCAGGGCTGGCGTTCCAACACTCCGAACTGGGCGCCCTTATCGCTTTAGTTCGGAGCGAGGATCCCCCTTGACCTCTGGAGTAATCTTAATCTGGTGGGCGTTGGATCGCTCCGGATTGCGCTCGCCAACCGGCCTCTGGTCTCCTTGGCCTTGAGTGAGACAGAGGAACCCCTCCAACCAAGGCTACAGGCCTCCACAGGTTTGCTTCGGAACAAATCCGGTGGGTTTAGCTTAATCCGGAATGACTCCGAAGCAGGTGGCTGGAAGACCCCCCACCCGCCTCCTTTTGAAGCACGTTTTTTTCAGACTCCCCACATCCACGCACACCTTCTTCCTTCTCTCAGTCAGCTGCTTGCCAGAGTAGAAACTTTTAGGCCACTTGGAATCAAACCCACCTCTCTTGACCCCCCCCCCCAATCAGGCCAAAAAAGGGGGCTGAAGAATTTCCATTAAAAAAAAACACCCAACTTCCTTGAAGGAAGGGGATCCAAGCTAGTTACACCACCAAAAGTCCTGATCCCGTCGCCCTGGAGAGCCCTAGCAGCAATCCACTCGAGTTCAGGTGCGTTTACTTAGGAGTAAGTCATGCCCTTATTTAAAGCACGTCTCGCTCCTAAGTAAGGATAAACGTGGCAGTTTCCGGGAGGCGACCAGTTTCAGCGACGCCCAGCTCACCTTTACACGGGAGTCGGAGCCTCTGGCTCCCGAAAAAGGACTTCCTTCCTTCCTTCCTTCCTTCCTTCCTTCCTTCCTTCCTTCCTTCCTTCCTTCCCAGCAACTGGTCCTTAACTTGTGCCAGCCGCGGGAAATGCTAAATAAGCCCCCGTTCTATTTTCTTTTTTTAAAGTAACCCAAGGGGTGCTGCTGGTGATTTCGTCCTGAATTATAGGGTCGGTGTGTTGCCGCCGTTAAGTGCGCTCCAGAAGGAGCACGCCTCCACACGTGTAAAACGCAGGAGTTTCAAGCCGGCCTAACTTGCCATAGGGTGGTTAACAGGCAGAGTTTAGCCGGCTGCCGGCAGGATTGAGCCTGGTGCCTCTTCGCCTTGAAAAGCTGGCCGTAAAAGTTGTAATTTTAGGCGAGGAAGCGCGCGAGTCGGTGCTTGGAAAGCCGAGGGGGCGCTTAAAAAAACCAAGAGGTTGCAAAGATTTTTCAAGTGTGGATTCGGGCCTTCTAGGATATTTATCTCTTGAGGCTTCCAAACAAAATCATTTTTAATTCCCGGACGGGGAGGATGACAATGATCATGCTCCCCAATTAGCAGCTTTTTTAATTATTATTATTAAAATGAAAAGCCTTTCCGGACAGAAGAAGAAAAAATGATGGAAAAAGCATTTACTGCTAAAGTATCAAAGCAGTCGGGGGCGGGGTGGGGTGGGGAAGCATTTATTCGGGAAGTTTCTTGCTCCTCTTCAATCTTGCACGTTTTCGGGGAACGAGGGCGAAGGGCGTTACCTCTGGCGAAGGTAATTTCAAAAGACGCTCCCTTCAACCGTGGTTTCCAGCTTTATTTCTGTTTTCTATTATATATGTGTTGCAACCGCCCGGAATGGTGTTTCGACGCTAATGGGATGAAGATACAAATGGAAGGAAATAAATAAATAAATAAATAAATAAATACAAACAAACAAACAAACAAACAAACAAAGTGACTTTTCATAGCACGCCCTTCTGGGGGAACAAACTCCTGATTCGGATTAAAGGGCAGAGAATCCGAACTCCTTATCCGGATTCTCCGCATCCACACCACCTTTGAGGCAAAACCGACGTGAATGTCCGGTGATGACTTCTGAACTCTTTCTTTCTTTCCCTTTCCCTCTGATTTCCAACCTTGCTAGGCTCTAGATAGCAGTTTAATTATTA